CAGGTATTTTAATAAATGTAGTTTAATTTTTCTGGGATAGGTGTCTGGGATTGCATGTGGCATGTGCACATATAGGTTTCTAAGATGCAGTAACACTGTCTCTGGAGTGGCTATCTCATCAGCAGTGTCTGAGTATTCTAGTTCCCTTTGCCAGTTTAGTAGAATCATTATTTTTAATTTTAGCCAGCCTGAAAGGTGTGCTGTGATATTTCACTGTATTGTTAATGGTTTTAATTTGCATGTCCCTACGTATTGATGTTTTCAAACATCTTTCATGTGATTATTTGCCATCTGGATATCTTTTCCTATTGTATTTTAATCATAGAGTTTAGGCAGTTCTTTATATGTTCTAGATAATTAGTACTTTGTTAGTTATATAGTTTACAAATATTTTCTCCATGTTTGTAGTTTGTTATTCATAATCTGAATAGGTTCTTTTGTAGGATGAGATTTTAAAATTTAAAGTCCAAGCTATCATATTTCTATATGCATTGTGCTTTTGTTGTCAAGTTCAGAACTTTTCACTTTTCCCTAGATTTTGAAATTTTCTTGTGCTATTTTTAATTCTGTGATTGTTTAACCTATTTTTTTAAAGCAACCACTAATAGATCACATAGGATGAAGTCCAGTTGTTTTTTTGCTTATGAATGTCCAGCATCATTGGTTGTGAAATCTAACTTTCCTTCATTAAATTCTCAAAAATAAGTTGAGAATATTTGTGTGGGTCTGATTTTGCAGGCTTCTTTTTATCCTGTTCTATCAATCTCTGTTTCTCCATAAATACCACTCTTTATTTTAGTAGCTATATACTAAATCTTGAAATTATGTACATCGATTTTCTAAGTTTAGTCTCCTCTTGTGTTTAAACAATGTTCTCTTTTTTTATTTAAACAATTCTAATTCCATTTCTTTCTATGTAAACATACATATATCAAACCTTTTATATCTTCTTTATAATCTTTCTGGTATTTTTAATTTCTGTAATTTAATCCTCTGAGATGTTTTCCAGATTTTCTTCAATTTCTTCTATTAAGTTTTCAACCACATCTATTCTTCTTTTTCCAACTTGTGAATCATCATAGCACTGATAATAACAATAGTAGTAGTAATTTATTTTTGCTGTGCTGGGTACCAAGCCAATCCTTGTGCATGTGAAGCAAAAGCTTCTGGTTTCAAGTGGGCCACATGTGTGTTTATGTATGTGTACCTGAAAACACTTTATGAGGTATTTTAATTCAATTTGGAGTGTTACAATTTTTCTTTCATAATTATTTGCTAAAAATTTTTATTAGCTCAAGGCATTTGCATTTTCATTTTTGTGTTTTCTTTCACCCTGGGTTTCATATGAAGCTTAATTTTTCATTCTTCCTTAATGCTTCATAGGCTGTGATACTATTATAAGACTACCTTTTCCTATCAGTTTGTAAAATAGGGGCTTTTTTTTTTGGTGGATGATGGTGTGGTGAAAGGGGTAAATTAGAATTAGATTAGCCTGTCTTATGCTTTATGTATCTAATGAATCCCTAAATTTCCGTCTTCCTTCTTTCCCTTCACTGCCATCTCTCTGAGGAATAACTGACTATTTTTCCTCATGTGGAAATGACTCTTTTAAAAAAGGCTGTCACTTTAAATTTTGTACACCTGTGACATCCTTCCCAGTGACTGGCAAACCACCAGATTCTGACTTGTGTTTATAGTCTGGCATTTAAAATTGTATTTGCCTTTCTGAGAGTGATTTTAAAAAATTTAAATTATTTTTGAAAGAAGTTATAACAAGAAGTGACTTTTTAAAAAAAATCAATGCTTAGTCTATGTACTGAAGTCAACACCCTTCCTTCTAAGTCTCTTCTGCCTTCCCTTATACTATGTTTACCAGTTCTACATCCAGACGTTCATAGTAACTAATGCTGATCTTTTAATTTTTAAATACATTTTTTCACTTATAAATAACTTGAAGTTAGTTATGTTTCCTGCTTTTTGATATTAGTGATGTTGTGAGTTACATGTGATATAATTTGTGCTTCTTGACTCTGTAGTTTGAAAGGAAGGTATGCTATCGCTAGGTTTAAATGACTTGTCATCACTTTCTATGCTCAAAAGGATAAAATGTCCTCTATATTCTAGAATGTACTACAGACCAAAAGGCATGTACCTTCATTAACTTGTGTAATAATAGGATAGAAAGGAAAATTGGCATTGCAGTAAAATTATTTATTTATTTAGTTAGTCATAAGGCCTGAACTCTGGGCCTGGGTGCTGTCCCTCAGCTCTTCAGCTCAAGGCTAGCACTCTACCACTTGAGCCATAGTGCCATTTCTGGCTTTTTTTCTGCTTATGTGGTGCTGAGGAATTGAACCCAGGGCCTCATGTATGCAAGGGCAAGCACTCTATCCCTGAGCCACCTTCCCAGCCCCATGACTTTCTTTTATTAGGACAATAAAAATTCTTCGACTTGGGTTATAGTTATCAGTATTTATCTATTTAGAGACAAAGTCACAGAGCTGGCCTGCAGCTCACTATGTAGTGCAGCTTGGCCTCAAATTCAAGAATCTCCTGCCTCATCATCCCAAATGCTGGGATTCCAGGTGTGAACCACCTCCTGTCTGTGATTGTCTTCTTCAAATTAGTGGAATGTACAGAGTAGCAAAGAAATCATGTATTTCAATAGCACAAAGACTATCAGAAAATTAGAAAATGTCTAATCAAATTAACATATCATTTTCAAGAGGACACTATGAAACACATAATCATTTACCCAAGATGATCCTGCAGGGTATAGTAGGTATGGCCCTGGAAACAAGTTTGCCTGGCTGTCCATCACTAATACCTCCAACTCTGTTTTAGCACTTGGTAGGTTACTGTCATCATGACATTATTTCCTGTTAAAAGAAATTAAGACTTGAAAGCAGAAATGGCTACAGGGCGATAAGAAAGACCAGAAGCCTTCTTATGCAGTGTTTATTCACCATCATGATGTTGCACTTCCTGCGTAGATTGGCTGGCTCTCTTCCTCTCTTTAAGTCTTCTCTTTTTCTTCTTCTTCTGTTATTTAATGAACACCTGAAATAGTTTATACTGAGAAATGAAGTTGTCATGTTCTCAAAAGAGTTAACATGCAGTACAACTCACTTTAAAGGAGTGAGGATGGATGGCAGTTTTGAGGATGCACATTGGTTCATGTCCATAGGTTTTCTTAACTACCGCAACCATAGAACCCACTAAAAGTTGAGATTAAGCTTCTTCTTTGTAGCTCCAAAGCAGTATGAGGTCTTGGTCTCAATGAACCATCAACTTCACTTGAATATCCCAGGGTGGTGTGTTTACTGTTGTTGTTTCTGGGCTATTGACAAGAGGCTTATCTTTTCAACTCTTCTTTCTGTGCTCTTGAATTGCATCTCCTATATGGCAGGGATGCTTTGTGTTGAATTTCCTTTGTAAGTGAAGGGCAGAATGTTCTTTGCACTTTCCCCGTGTACACTCAGGAAGGCTTTTCCCTCTCAACAGGGCTCAGAAGTCTTGATTGGGGTACTTCAGAAATAGGCTTGGTTTTTACTTTTACAAAAACAAGCAGAGAGCGGGCAATTCCTATATTGGAACAGCACGGATGCTCTGTTTCCCCGAGGCAAGTGGCTGGATGGGGGAGGATGCTGTGTAATACAGGGAGCCCTACTCAGTATGGCCAGGGGCGCCATCCTTACTTCCTTTGGTGAAAGGGTGGAGAGGCTGGTATTTTGTTTTTCTAATTAAAATGTACAGGCTCACATCTGTAATCCCAGCTACTCAGAAGGCTGAGATCTGAGGATCGCACTTCAAAGCCAGGCTGGTAGGAAAGTTCTTGAGAAGCTTGTCTCCAATTAACTACTAACAAGAGAGAGCAAGAGAGAGAGAGAGAGAGAGAGAGAGAGAGAGAGAGAGAGAGAGAGAGAGAGAGAGAGAGCGCAGCAAGAGTGCAAAAGAGCGAGAGCGAGAGGGGGGGGAGCGAGAGAGCACGCGCTGGAAATGGCATTGTAATAGAGGACTAGCTTTGAACACAAAAACTCAAAGGCAGTGCCCAAGCCTAGAATTCAAGCCCCAAGATCTGCCCTCCCCCCAAAAAAAAGAGTAAAGAAAAAGAATAAAAAAGTGGAAAGCAAAAGCAAAAAGAAATAAAATATAAGGCTTTTTTTTTGGAAAAAAATTAAAATTAGACCATTTGGGCATGATGAAGAACTTGGGTTGATTGTTGATTCTTTTTCAGACTAACCCTGTGGGCTGGGGCAGATCACTTTCCTTCTCTGAGCTGTAGCTCCCTTATGCATACAAAGGGGAAAGCAAAGTTGTCAGTAATGTGTTCCTAGAGGAACTTGCTGGACTAATTCACTGGGAAGACTTCATCCAGTTACTGCAACTTCAATGTTCGCTATGTATTATTATTATTGTTGTTGTTATTTAATTTTTAACCACTTCTAGGATTTGAACTTAGAGTCTCACATTCTTATCTCACTCTCTTTTGCATTTTTTTGCTTAAAGCTTGTGCTCTACCACTGGAGCCACACTCTACTTCCAGCTTTTTTTTTTTTTTTGCTGGTTAACTGGAGAGATGAATCTTACACCCTCTTTCCCCCTACCCCCCTACCCCCGGGGGGTCCCCAACCCCTTGCAGGCCAGCTTTAACCTTGATTCTCAGATCACACCCTCTTGAGTAGCTAGGGTTACAGATTGAGCTACCAAAGTTTGGCTGACTACTTCTCCTACTCCTACTCCTCTCATCATTATTATTAAACTCCTGCTTTCGGCCACCACTAGGATTCTCTATGGAGGCATCATCCAATTTATTAAGCGATTCCACGTTGGTGGTGCTGGCCAGGAGTTGCAGTGACTCTTATTTTGGCAGCCTCAAGCCAACCTGACTCTAGGGGTGCTGTGTGTGTGTGGTGGGGGGGCACCCAAGTCTGTTTGTGTGTATTTAGCTCATTTATGTATTTTGGCCCTGGCCTTCTCTCCCCCTCTCCCCGTTTCAGTACTCGGGCTTTCACACGGAGCGATCAGAGTCGGATCACGACAGCCAGTGGGGCGGGAGCCCCCTGACCGACACGGCGTCCCCGCAGCTGCTGGACCCCGCGGAGCGCGCTGGGTCCCAGCACGACGCGTCGTGCGCCTACCGGCAGTTCTCGGAGCGCAGCTCGCTCTGCTACGGCTTCGCGCTCGACCACTCCCGGCTGGTGGAGGACCGGCACTTCCACACCCAGGCCTGCGAGGGGGGCCGCTGCGAGGCCGGCAGGTACTTCCTGGGGACGCCGCAGGCCGGGAGGGAGCCCTGGTGGGGCTCCCGGGCAGCCCTGCCCCTGACCAAGGCCTCCCCGGAAAGCCGAGAAGCCTACGAGAACAGCATGCCGCACATCGCCTCGGTGCACAGGATCCAGGGTAAGAGCGGCTGGGACTCCTGCGGCCCCCAGCGCGGGAGGAGGGTTCCCGGGCCAGGTGCCACGAGTACCTCGGAGTCTGGAGTGGCCCGCTCCAGGGGGCCTCTCCTTTGGCACTCGCTCGGAATGTTAAAAAACCAAGGCCACTCGGGCTGAGTGTATTCATTTGGGTCATAGTTGCAGAACATGTGACAAGTGAGATCAACAAGTTTCTCATCTTAAAAAAAATAAGGAAAATGTGCTGGGCACCGGTGGCTCAGGCCTGAAATCCTAGCTGCTCAGGAGGCTGAGAACCCAGGATCTAAGGAAAGATCTAAGGATCTTTATCTCCAAATTAACCACCGAAGAGACGCAAGTGGAGGTGTAAAGTGGTAAAGTGCTAGCCTTGAACAAGAGTCAGGAACAGCATCCAGCCAGGCACTGAGTTCAAGTCCCAGTATCAGCACAAAACCAAAATCATGAAAAGTAGAAATCAAAGTCAAATTTTTCCTATTGAACTTGCCATCTCTATATATGTATGTGTGTACATCTGCATATATGCATATAGGTCCATGTAAATGCATGCATGTGTATGTATGCATGCATGCATGCATGCATGCATGTATGCATGTATTTCTGTGTGCCAGGAATCAAAGGTGGAGGTGAATAGTGGTTCACTGAGTTATAACAGGGTTTATTTGCAGTGAGGGGACTATCGATAGATTGGTGAGGTCAGTCACTGATGCCATAGTCTTCTGCCTCTCTGGCATTTAGTACCCAGATCCATTAACTGCCCCACCCACTGTCCCTCCGCATGATGACAACCACAGTGGCCTGCAGTAAGGATGGAGGACATTTAGTAACCACAGAGATTTTCACCTTAGGATTATCACACAGCCTTTGCAACACATGGAAATAGGCCCTGAAGTTAAGGCTTTGATCATTGGAAATGCTTTTCTTTGTTCATTTCAAAGTAAGCTGGAGAACCCACCCTGTGCATTTCAAGCTTGGGTCCAGGCCGGTTCTTTGAAACCCTCACTGTTTCATTAAAAGTCAGTCAGTGGCACATATTGATGAGAAGGCCGGCAATGACTCTCCTCGTCTTTATCCATTGATAAAGTCTCCTGTCAGATGCCACCCAGACACTAATGGCCTTCTAGGAATAATTTTAATTTGTTTCCATTCTTGCTTTTTTAGTCTTCAGCTTTTATTTTGAGTAGACAGGCTGTTCTGAATCAAGGAACATTTCAGTAGTCTAGTAATGAAGATCAAAGGGCAATTGCTTGTCAAAGAAAGAAGGGCAGGGGAAATCCTGGCTTCACCTACCTGGTCTGTAAGAAAATATTAGAAATAACATATGAAAGAAAGAGGAAAGGGAAGCAAGCAGCGATGGCGTGATCCACAGCAACTCTGCTGCATTAGGAAGCTTTCAGTTTTTGTATGTCTCTGCTTGATTGTTTTCCTTGCTTTTTACATTGATATCAGACTGCCTTGGAATATATTTTGGATGCATTATGTATCCATTTTATTTATATTATGTTTCTCTCCTTGGTTCAGAGCAAGTTATTCAAATTGTTAGTATTTACTTACTCTTTTTTTTTTTCTCGTGCCAATCCCGGGCTTGAACTCAGGACCCTGGCACTGTTGCTAAGCTTTATTACTCAAGAGTAGTACTCTACCAATAGAGCCACAGCTCTACTTCTGGCTTTTTGGTAAATACTTGGAGATAAGACTCTCATAGACTTTCTTTTCCAGATTGGCTTTGGACCATGATTCTCAGATCTCAGCCTTCTGAGTAGTACGATTATAGGTGGGAGCCACTGGCACTCGGCTAATATTTACTTATTCTTCATATTGCTTCAGAAGCCATCTGAGATATCAGAGTTCCTATAAAATGACCTTGGAAGTTGGAATGCTTACCCTGTCCTTTAATAAAGTAGTGTTATATTTTGATTGGGACAAAATATATCTGTATCTATCCATCAACACACACGCACACACACACACACACACACACACACACACACACACACATATATGTAAAAGATATATTTTAATCCGTGACTAGTTGAAAGTTAAGATTAAAGGGCTTTTATATAACCCTTGTTTAGATTCATTGAATGACATTAACATTTTCAGTGATTTATTTTATGTAGTATAGAAAAAAAAAGGTTCAGTCTATGCTATTGTCTTTTTCAAGCTTAACTGAAAGCATTTTCCAGGCATCACTCTAATCAACACCGCTCTCAAGAATACCATAAACCAATTTCTATGTCCTTCCTTCTTTTCCTTCCTTCCTTCCTTCCTTCCTTCCTTCCTTCCTTCCTTCCTTCCTTCCTTCCTTCCTTCCTTCCTTCCTTCCTTCTTTTTTGAAGCTGGAAAGATCCAATAAAATGCAAAGAGAGAGGTAGAAACATTCCTAATTTGCCATTTGGCATTCACAACCCACAATAAGGCTATGGTCTAAAAATATTTTTATAAATCTTATCTGTACTTAATGTCCACCAACTTTATGTGATCTCAACACAAGTTCCAGCACAATAAAGCAACTATTCTGGCACGTAGGTGTGTGTCTAACTTAAGTTTTACGTTAAAAAAACTAAACGTGTATGATATACTTTAATAGGAAAAGAAATGTGTGTGTGTGTGTGCGTGTGTGTGTGTGCGCGCACGTGCACACATGCATGCGTGCACATATGCATGAATTTTTAACCGATTTACTTTTTACATTTTCTGATTTCCAGGACGAGGTCATTGGGATGAAGATAGTGTGGTTAGTTCCCCAGACCCAGGGTCAGCCAGTGAATCTGGTGAGAGATACCGCACGGAGCAGTATCAAAGCAGCCCACAGGAACCAAGCAAAATTGAAACTCTGATCAGAGCTACCCAACAAATGATTAAAGAAGAAGAGAACAGATTGCAGCTCCGAAAAGTTCCCCCAGACCAACTGGCTTCCATAAACGGAGCTGGGAAAAAACACTCTCTCTGTTTTGCAAACTACCCACAGCCCCCAACAACAGGTGAAGTCTGCCATAGCTCCACCCTTGCCAGCACGTCACCCTGCGACCACATCCAGCAGAGAGAGGGAAAGATGCTGAGTCCCCATGAAAATGACTATGACAACAGTCCCACCGCACTGTCTCGGATAAGTAGCCCCAATTCCGATCGTATTTCAAAATCCAGTTTGATCCTAGCTAAAGACTATCTGCATGCAGATATGTCTCCTCATCAGACAGGAGGAGACCATTCTGCTGTCTCTCCAAACTGCTTTGGCTCCCACCGGCAGTATTTCGATAAGCATGCTTACACATTAACTGGATATGCCCTGGAGCACTTATATGACAGTGAAACCATCAGAAACTATTCGTTGGGCTGTAATGGCTCCCACTTTGATGTAACTTCCCATCTGAGGATGCAGCCAGACCCAGCACAAGGACACAAAGGAACATCTGTTATAATAACCAATGGAAGCTGATGTTTTTCTAAAATGTTTTGTTCTTCAAGGGTCTCTGAAACATATTTATAGTTTAATGTCCCATTACCAGCACTTACTACACCACAGATTGTCAAGAGAGGGTAATTTAAGTTCCTGGGTATATGACATGTGTTCCCATGAAATCAAAGAAGAAAACATAGCACTAACATTCTGGGTTATATACAGATAATGGAGATAAAGTGACTACATAAATAGCCCATCCAATTATATGGGAACTAAAATCGATACGTATTTGAATTGAAAAATACTCATGTAAATCAAGGAAGCATATATGCCACATGGAAGGGATGAAGAATGGCAATGTTGTATTGTAATGATCCATTAAATTCCTACAGACAGATTACTCACTCTTCACAAATGCTATGTGCACTTTACACGCAGAAATAGAGAATATATGCCAGAAACACACCTAACCATGCAGAAATAGAGAACATATATGATAAACACACCAGACCAGGGCACCTTTCCCTAACTCTACTATATGAAGCTTCTTAAACAAAATGTCCCTGCTCAAAATAACTAAGGAAGAAAGAGATACATCTCATAAATTGATTTCTTCTTTGTGGTTTCAAACCAGTCATCTCATTTGGTTCAGGCATAAATTAAAGAAATGGTCTGGCTGTGGCACAAGAATGTGCTTTCACCTGCAATCCAGTATAAACAATCAGAAAGTGGTGTGTTTTCACCTTACTTTTTGAGATAGACAAGGGCCAGAATTGCACTGTCATAGGAGTAAGGGGTTTTCTAAGTAGCAGCATTGAGATGGTAGGAAACACATCTGAAGTGTGGTGTGCTCAGCAGAAAGTAGTTTAATGAAGATGGCAAGGCCAGGGTCAGAGAAGGACAAAATGCTATCTCGAAACAATTGATGGCTCAGAATTAAGTAAGCAACATGTTTGGGGGCTTGCTGATAAACCAACCAAGTAGAAAATTCAAACCAAATTCCCTAAGAAATTAAAAAAGGCTGCTAAGTGTAGAATTAATGAAGGCAAACCTGTGAAGTGTGTGATATGACAGCTGGGCAAGAGTTTGAAAACATTTCAAAGCACAGATGTGCCGTAGTGAGGGAGAGGGGCTAAGATAAAAGCAGATAAGCAAGTGGTTAAGGGGGTGAGAGGAGTACTCTGATGGAAATAATAAGCAGGGTTTCTTTATTGTTTGTTAACAATGAAAACAAAAAAATTTGCTTTTTATATGTGTGCTATATAGCAGAAAGACTAATGAAACTACATGCCAAGATCTCTGGGTTCTGGTTCTGGTTCTGACTCTGCCTGTGAATGATTCTTGTGATCTCAGATGGGTCACATGGCATGTCTGGGTCACAGATCTCTGTGCTGAAAGGCAGATCTAATGGTCAACGGCTCTGTGGTTCATTGGTGCAGCAGAATCGGAGTGGGGAGCTACTTAACTCTGCACTGAGTTGTCAAGACCAGTTGTCCTGGTTTTGCCAGGACATGCAAAGATCTTCATGGTTTGTAGCTTAAGCAGGTACTTGGGCTCTTTTAGGAAGGTATAGTAACAGTTAAACTTCTCTTAGAATCAAACAAAGTGTAGATGCTAGAAATTCATAAGGGGAAGGGAGAATAGAATTCATTTAATGCACTATTCTCTAGTAATCAAAGTGAAGTGACACAATTGATCAGAGAAGCCTCATAGAAAATATTTTGTAGGAGTCTCATGTCTGAAACTTTTGCCATATTCAAGGAGGGGAATGTACTAGAAGAACATGACTTACCATTTTGAAAACAGAACATGACATTGGACACTCAGGGATTAATACTATATTTTCCTCGTTTAATACAATTATTTGGAAGTCTAGATTGTTGATAATCTGTATGATATAATTTGAGAGTTGAATACGGGGTTTTTGTACAGGAGAAAAGATGTTACATATAATTAATCATTTGTGTAACAGCAACATTTGTCAATATAAATGCTAAAAAGAAATAAGAAAGGGAGTAATCATATCTACATTAAAAATGTTTCAAATACAATAAAAGTCAATTTTGAGTTAATTTCTAAACAAAGACTAGTAAGTACTTTTAAGACAACTATTTGTATTGAACCTCCAAAACATTTAAAATAGACTGATCAATTTGCAATGTGAAATAAGGTTTTAAGAATGCTAAAGGTTTTGCAGAATTCTATAGACAGATAAATGTTTCAAAACATGAGTGTCTGACAAAGGAAAGGAAATTTGTGCAGCTGTTTTCTACTTATAGAAAAATTTCCACCAAATTTGTCAAGAACAAATACCGGAAAAGAAATGGAAACAGGAAACAAAGTAAAGGAACTGCTATTAAAGAAAAGTCTGTCACTAAAGTAATTCCAGTGGCTTTTTATATGTAGGCTAATTAATGGGAGGAATAAATTATGGATTCTACAGATAGGGGCTCATCAGGAGAATAATGTTTCTTAGGATGGATGACAGTTTTGCTTTCTCTCTCTCCTCTCTCTCTGCCTCTCTCTGTCTCTGTCTCTCTTTCTCTTTCTTTCTTTCTTTCTTTCTTTCTTTCTTTCTTTCTTTCTTTCTTTCTTTCTTTCTTTCTTTCTTTCTTTCTTTCTTTCTTTCTTTCTTTCTTTCTTTCTTTCTTTCTTTCTTTCTTTCTTTCTTTCTCTTTCTTTCTCTGTCCATCTCTCCCTCCCTCCCTCTCCCCCTTTCTTTCTTCCTTTCTCTCTTTCTCTTTCTGTCCCTCTCTCCCTCCCTCCCTCTCCCTCTTTCTTTCTTTTTTCTTTCTTTCAGCTGATCCTGGGGCTTGAACTACAGGGCTTGGGTGCCCTCTCTGAGCTTTATTTGTTCAAAGCTGGTGGTCCTACCACTTGAGCACAACTCCACTTCTAGGTTTTTGGTGATTGACTGGAGAGAATAGTCTTACAAACTTTCTTGCTCTGCCTGACTTTGAACTGTGATCCTCAGATTTCAGCCTCTGAAGAAGCTAGGGTTACAGGAATGAGCCATCAGTGCCTAGCTAGTGACTACTTTTTTTTTTAAATCAGTCCTGGGGCTTTAACTCAGGGCCTGGGCACTGTCCCTGAGCTTCTTTTGCTCAAGGCTAGCACTCTACCACTTGAGCCATAATGCTTCTTTTGGCCTTTTCCATTTATGTGGTACTGAGGAACTGAACCCAGGGTTTCATACATGCTAGGCAAGCACTCTACCACTAAGCCACATTTCCAACCCATAACCACTATTTTTAAAGGGAGGGAAAATTACCTAAATTACATCTTCGCTAAGGATTTTGATAGATTGACTTAGTTTCAAGTAAAGACCATTTGCTTAATTTGCTGAATGTCAATAATTTTGTAGCAGCAATTTCATTTCATTACATATAATGCCTTCTAGTTTACCTTTTTTTTTTGCAAAAAGACATTATTATGAAAATGATCCAAAATAAACTGACATTTTTATGACAAGGTGACTTCTTCCTAATCATGTAGATGTGTACAAATCTGTTTATAATCTGCACTATTTTATTCTGTGCAGGAACATACTTCCTCACAAGGAAGGTATTATTTGTGTCTTTTAAAGATATGGGATATAAATAAATACGTTCTCAATAACTTAATTGGTGAAAATCAAACTAAACTTGGTTTTAGTTTAATCCGTCACTTTCATAACTTTGCTCAAGTTCTGAAAACTATGAAACTTGATTGAAATAGAGCAAAGGATGCTTTTTAAAAAATCACCTTGGGGTTTCATAGAAACATATTATATCCCATTATACTGATGCAATGTGTAATAATTCATTAGATATTACAAAACTCATGCTTTCTAGTATGAATATCTTTAATGCTCATTTTCCCTGCTTGAGCCAATTTAAAAATTTAGATGACCAAAGAAGTAAATGAATATGTCTCCCATCTTTCTTGGTAAAATGGTTAAAATTATTATGGATGTATTATTTTAAATACATCATAGTATGGTCACAGTCACTCCAGGTCAAACATAGATGTGTTTCTGCTCCACCATTCCTTTGAGATAATATGATGAGTATAATGTGCTAGCTTTCTAAACTAATTTCTTAGTATAAGGCAATATGACAATGCTGATGTGACACTCACAATGAGACAGGATGCAATAAATGATTTGCCTTCAGTGTTTATACAGAAAAACCACTTATTATTTCCTGATTATATTTTATAGGGCCAGGATATTTCCACTGAGGACTGTTCTTAATTCTATCTACACCCTGCTGCCACATGCTGCCTCTGGGCAGAGAATCCCACTTAAAATGTACTTTAATGGCATCTTCCAGAGAGGGATAATATGTTCCACTTTTCTTTCTGTTTTAAGTTGAAGGATGAGGATCAATGCTAATACAAAATCATTTGGAAAACATGCATAGCTATCTTAAAATAACATGAAAGACGGCTCCCCACTCAAGATCTAGACCAAATAAATTTGATAGAGGAATACAGCTAGAGAGACACTCTGAATATGGATTTGCTATTTTGTAGCCCAACTGCCCTCTCTTTTTCAAGTGCAGGGCATTACCAAGATGCTAGGTGTAATGTATAAGTATGAGTAGTTGGGAGTAACTAAGTAAATGCTGACATTTGGAAAACTGAGTATTTGGCCATTTGGGAGCCCATCACCTTGTTTATTGGAATCGATGCTTTAATACAGTCCTTTGATTTACTAAGTTTGAGTGGCCAGATTGGACACCCTAACTTGACCCAAATCATAGTATAGATATTCATCTTGTTTTCTGAATGACTGGATAAAGAGCATAAACCTTGTGATCCTCCAATTAAGTGATGTAACTTGTAAATGTCAAGTTTTTGTGAATAGGCATTTAAATCTAAGCAACATCTATTGGCTAGTTCTTTCTTTGAAACATACTGTGAATAAAACATCATTCTAAATCTTAAAACAAGTGATAGAACAGCTATGGACATATGCAAAAATATCATACATAGAGGATGTTCTTTGGGGGAAATTTTTGTGTAGTGCTCATTTCTTGTGCACAAGGGTTGTACGGGTAGTGTTTAAGTAAAAAAATGAGATTGTACTCATTTCCAAATAGGTGTTTTTTCAGAGTTCTTTCTCTAAGACTGCAGAAGCTACACATACACACACACACACACACACACACACACACACACACACAGAGTATGATTTTTGTATCATCTTGGGGATTTATAGAATGTGCTATATCCAATTTTATATATACATCTATATATATTATAGTTCACACAAGAAATTCTAATTGATAACTTTAAACCAGACCTTTGTAGTTTTATTTATTGCAATTTTGCTGCATGGGACTTTGCATTGCTTCACAAACTTGGATGGGAAGAGTTTGTTCTGGGACACATTTAATAACTGTTAAATTTATACCCAACAATCTTGATGTGTTTACATTTTGAAAGAAATGAAATTGGTGTGGAAAAATTTTTAGAAGTACTGTAATTTTTTTCTGTTTTGTTTCTCCAAAGGGAAATATTTCAAAAAATAAAACATATGAGTAGGCGTTTCAAAAAGGAAAAGATAAAATATTTAGTTTGTTTTTGACTGCCATGCTATAAAAGGGATTATATTTGTGAGAAAAGATACTGATTGCCAATATTCCAATAACCACCTTGCAATGTATAGTTTTTAGTGATATTGTAGTATACAGTTGTAATTTGAACTTTTACTTTGGAATGTAAAGTAGAAAATATTAGCTATGTCAATGATATCTTGCAAAGTGTTCCCCTTTATAATTATTTATATTGTAAATAGCTTTCTGAAGTAAATTTGAAGTTAATGTGCATAAAATGTATTTATTATGTGAGGAATTTTTGGTTCAAAATATAGTTACCAATATGCAGTTTGAGTCTGAATTGTTCATTGAAAGGAAAATATCTAGAGCAAAAAAAAATACAAAAAAAACACAAAAAGCAGAGCCTTGTACTATAAAAAAAATAAGGACCATTTGAACTCTAAGATATGCTGGAATGGATAACCCCAATGCAATACATGCACAAACATGAACACACATAATGCACATAAGAATTAAGAATAGAAGTGTACACATATACATAATAACTATTAAGTAACAGGTCTGTTTCATATTAGACACTGGAGGGTGGTTTCTCACGGTTTCATCAGCATATTTAAGCAGAACTTCTTTCTCCCCTTTGCCAAGTAAAAATTTGAAGGTATAGAGTGCATTTTTAATGCCTAAGGGAAAAGCAAACCTACAATATTGAGATGATTTACTTTGCTGCCATTCAAAAGCACCAAAAGTACATTTAAAACATTGCATCCTGAATAATTTTTGTTTTGGAATCCAAAGTATTTTTAAAATTCAAAGTTAGGAATTGAAGTCAAACAAAAATGTATTTCTAGGAAATTTTTTCTTGAGAATTTTCGTAGTGCCTCTCATGCTTTTCTTTCCTTTGTTCCCCCTTCAAGAATTTATGATTTGCCTTTAATGTGTTCCAGAAATTGTCACTTGCCAATTCAACCAACCTACACAAGATCATTTGTACTTTTCAGTTCTTTTTTTCTTAAAGCTAAACAAAATATTCAAATATAATTATCATTACTACCACAATATCTCCCAACATCCCTCCCTCTCTTCCTTCCTTCCTTCCTTCTTTCCTTATTTCCTCCTTCTTTCCTTCTTGTAGTTGTGGAGTTTGAACTCAGGGCCTTGGCACTGTCACTGAGCTCTTTTGATCAAGGCTGGTGCTCTACCACTTTGAGCCACAGCTCCAATTCAGGTTTTTGAGTGGTTAATTGGAGATAAGAGTCTTATGGGGACTTTTCTGCCCAGGCTTGCTTCGAATGGTGATCCTTAGATGGCAACCTCTTGAGTAGCTAGTATTATAGGTGTGAACCACCAGTGCCCAGCCAACACTTTTTTCTCCAACATTATTTTTTAAAATAGTCATGTTTGTTTTTCTCTAGGAATAAGTTTTTCATCGACTTTATTTTTTTCTGAGATAACTGCACTTCAATTTAATCCACAAAATTTATTACAATGTTGTGGTCATGAGTCTTGTGACACTAACAAATACCTGAGAAAATGAATTTGCAAAGAGGAAAGACTTATTTTGGCTCAGTTTTTGA